ATAGAGGACAGTGTTTTTCTTTTATTAAGTTCTCAAAGAGACTTGGGAGAGTAGATCTGAGATCATTATACTTTTTCTAGTGTCACAATTGTTCTATAGTTTCTTTCCTTTTAGTTATATTGGTGTTGAAAATCTTTTTCTACATTTTTTCAATTGTTTAGGTGATGTCTCCATTGAAGATCTATCTGGATCTTTCTGGGGGTGATAGCAATTTAAAGTTTGGAAAGCTTTCAAAGGGTTCAGAGGCTTGCTTTCTATTATACATTGCTGGTGCCCTGAGAGTCAAAATCTTTATGTGCTTCATTTGCAAGAAACAACCAATTACTTACTTTTTGTGAAATTCTACTCGCTTGACTTCTATAACATTGCAATATTCTCATTTTTCATGTATTTTTCTAGCTGTTCTCTTTTTCCTTAGTGAACTTATCTTTCTTTGTCCAATCTTTAAACCTTGATTTGACCATTTACTTTCTATATCCACATATCTTCCCTGGGTGACCTCATCCACTGTCACAGTTTCAACAAACATCACTTGCTGATAGTCTCAAATCTATACATCTCTATTGAACAGCATGCCTCTGAACTTCAGATTATATACTTAACTTTCAAATCAACATCTCTTCTCACATAATGCTTAGGCTCACCTCTCTACCAATCTCATTTCCACTTTTCCATTCTCGATTTCTTTACATGGCTTCACCAACATGATCATCTTCCCGGGTACTCAGCTTAGAAACTGGGGACTCATATTCTTCTCTCCCATCACATGCATTCAATCAAAAATCAAATTCTGCCGAGTTTATTTATTAATATTTATTAATTATACCTGAATCTGTATTTTTCATTCACCCTCTTTTTTTTTTTTTTACCACAGTCAGAACTTTTAATATTTTTTATAGATCATGCAATGGCTCCCTACCTCTTCTCCCTGCTTACAGTTGCATCTTTCTTCAATCCAGCTGTAAATTTGACCGGGCCGTTCTCTTACACTCTTCAGTGATTTCTCTTCTTCTTTCTTCCATATCATGATACCCTGGATCTTTTTTTTTTTTTTTTTTTGAGACAGAGTCTTGCTCTGTCACCCAGGCTGGAGTGTAGTGGCACAATCTCGGCTCACTGCAACCTTCACCTCCCGGGTTCAAGTGATTCTCTTGCCTCAGCCTTCCGAGTAGCAGGGATTGCAGGTGACTGCCACCATGCCCAGCTAATTTTTGTATCCTTAGTAGACGTGAGGTTTCACCATGTTGGCCAGGTTGGTCTCGAACTCCTGAATTCAAATAATCCACCCACCTCAGCCTCCCAAAGTGCTGGGATTACAGGCATGAGCCACAGTGCCTGGCCCCCTGGATCATCCTTGATTCACCCTTTGTCTGACCCTTCTGCTTCTCAAGGTACAGCTCTTATATCTTGTCACTTCTCACCACATGTTTTATTTTACTGTGACAAAATTCCTTCTTGTTTTCTTGGCATGCATGTACACACAGAGAAGCACATGCACCACCACCACCACTACCACCACCACCGCCACCCTTATTCTATTTCCTACATACTGTGACTTGGCTTATAATGTGCTCTTGGCATAGAGTCACCTTTTGTCCTCCTTCTTTTATCTTGACAACCTCCCACACATCTATCGCTCACTGAATAAGCATCACTCCAGGAAATAAAATCCAGGCTTTGTCAGGACTTCTCCACTCTGTTCCCTTAGACCATATACATGTTTCTATCATTTATCATGTTGTATGCTAACGATCCGTTTTGCATCAGTCTTACCCCAGTAAATTATGAACTCCTTGTGGTCAGCAATCACATTATTCAGTTTTGAAATCTCAGTTTTTTATATAGTCTGCCATGTGTTAGGTGTCCAAGACCTTTACTGAATGAATACATTTAATAAAGAAATAAATAAATTCTAGTATTTATTAATTCACAGTGACCATGTACTTGTTTGTGTTTCTTCCTCATTTAATTGAAACAATTTGGACATGTTTCATCAGTATAAAATTCATATAATTGACCACCAATATAAATTCATATAAAATTAACATCAATAGAAATATGTCTAATCCATTTTAAGTTATTGTTTATGCAATCCATATAAATTTGCATTTCAATTTCTGCAGTAATTTCAACCAAGGAAGTAAAGTCCAAATCTCCCAAAATATTAGGAAAGATGTTTACAGTCTTTTGAAAAAATATTCAAAGGGTGAAAGTCACAGGTCCTGATAACTCTCCATATACTATCCTCAACTTCCTCTTATCCTTCATTTCTCACATCTCAAATTATTCTTATCTGCTAAACTCTCCTAAAATACTCTCTCAACAGACATCTCTGGGGCATTTTTCTTTATCCCCACTCCTCATTTATTTTTTATTTAGACTGTCACTTAGCAAGAGAATAATTCCTATTAAATAAGGTGGGGAAAGAGCATAAGCGAGTGCTCAAATACCAACTTCTCTTTAGCAGAAGGAGGCAGGGAATGTTTCGGACTATCTCATCCTGATGATTGCTGCCAAGCACTTACATGTGTGTGTGTTGTAACATTGCTCTCTTTGGATTATTGGTCAATTATTCTTCTATACTGTCACATAGAAGACACCTGTATGTGCATGTGCCCTTTCACTGGAGGTGACATTTGCATTTCCTCTTCAAAAAACAAACAAACAAACAAACAAAAATCTGAATCTGTAGTAAATTTGCAGAGGCCATCGAACAAATACTATAAATTCAAGTGTGTTTAAAGCAGCCCTCTTGGTTTGTTGAAAGGAAAAATCTTGAACTCAGCACTTTGCTTTCTCTCTTGCAGTTGGTTTGTGATTAGCGTCTGTGTACTTTGTACTTTTTATATCAGCAACAGCTGTACACTGAGGCTCCTAGGGAAACCTCCTCAAAATAGCTTTGTTGCAAAAAGAAAATGGCATTTATGAACTTTGGCAGGAACTGTACTCTTGAGCCACGTTTAATTTTAAAACTTGAATGGAAAAATCCACTGCATGGAGAAGCCAGCCAGGCAGGATCATGAGCTGGATCTATTGTTAGAAGAAGAAGGAAGTGCCAACAGCTCAGAGGGCTCTGGGGGCTCTGAGAGCTTACATACACTGAGTCCTGCAGGGGTCCTGGACAAGGCCACTTGGATGGGGGCCTAACCACAGCATTACACATGCTCAGGAAGAGGCAAAGGCGGAAATTTACCACTTGGCAAAGCGTCTTCACAAAACCAGACTTGGCTTTGTGGTAGCTTCCTTAGGTAATGGTTTCACAATTTTTCAAAAATAACTTCATTTTACTCATTCACTCACTAAGTCAGAATGTTTCTATTATTTGAGAGTTCTTGATAGAGGTGGAAGGTTCTACCTCAGTCAGGTCCTGAGAGCAGTGCCTAACTATCCCAGTCCTGTCACCTATATATGGTCAATGTGTTGTGTTCTTACTATTGTCTGGGGTGGTGTGAGAGTCTCATTTTGCTTAGTTGTCAGTGCTGACAGCTGCTGAGAGCTGCTCAGCCAGCCACTTCTGAATTGCAGTAGGTGAGGTTTACAGCCTTCTGCCCCAGTAACAGTCAAATGTGCTAAAACAATGTCTGGCTCCGTGAGTAGTCATTTCTCAATACCTCAGTATTATGCTAAGTTACTTCACCACAGTTGTGCCAAGTCTTCTATTTTCATAGCCAGATACTTTGCAGGATGTGAGGCCCCAGCATGCCAGGCCTAGAGTGAATATTTGTGTCTGTCATGATTCAAGCTACCAGAGATTTTGCATGAATTAGAGAAGGGTCACTTTAGCCCGAGGGTGCTGCTCATGAGCCAAAAAGCTCTCACAGAAGCCAGAAGCTGTCTCTGAAAATCCTGTCCAGCGCTTTCCTTACTATAATAGCCATTTTCGAAAGGTCTGTGTCCTAAAGGGCTTGCATCACTCTTATTGAGTGACTCTTTTAGTTTTTCACAAAAACTATTGCTTTTGGAGTATTGGACAGGGCAGCAAAAACTTGATAGCTCTTCTTTGCGCTCAGTCCGGTGCCAACCAGTGTAGCCCCTCAGCCTTGTCTTTCACTACCCCATGGTGGTTTAGTTTTCCAAGAGCCTTTTTATTTTTTTTCTTTCCATGTCACTTGTCCTGAATTGGAGCTACCCTAGCCACCATGATAGATCTCCTAAAGTCTAAATATCAGGAAGAAGAGGTCGGAGAATTTATTTGAGATTCTACTTCCTGGTAGGCACATAGGTTTGTGAAAATCCCTCCTTTTCTACATTTGAACTCCACATGGGAAGAGAAATGCTGGCTCTGTAAGTCAGACTGAAGGCCCTATCGCATCATGTCTACTAGAGAGGACTAACCAAGGGCCATTCAGGGATTCAAGGTGACCCACCTCTACAGTCAACTGGCAGTTTCTTCAGGTTAAAATAAACAAAAAGCTTAAAATCATTTAAGTATAGGGCACATAGCAATATAAACACGTATTCTATGATATTTCATGAAAAATAAAAAGGTTGATTTGGTCTCAATTTTTTTTTTTTTTTTGTATTGAGGACTAGTACTATGGTCTGTTGAGAAATATTATAAACTTTTCTTCAGGGAAGGTCTAAAAATAGAACACAATCTTACTAGCCTAGAAGGATTTTAGCATGGTTCTTTTCTAAGGCAAGTGAATGAAGGAGAATGAAGCTTCTGGGCCATTGTAATCAAGTGTTTTGTCTGCTTTTTAAAAGACCAGTCATTAATTGCTTAGGCGTGGGTTCTAAATCAGAAGATGTCAGAAAGTGAGCTCTCAGGATTTGGGTTCTGCTGCAAATATTGCAACAATCAGCAAATATTGCAATATGAATGAATCCCCCATAAGTTTACAGGAAAATTTTAACTTCAGAACTACTGTAATTACTTCATAATTTATATACGGTTCCAATCACCAAAATAAATGAGTGCAAGGTATTCTCATGCATTGTAAGAGTTTAGTCATGTTTACATTATTACACAAAGATTATTATTTGTTTTTATTCGGCAGCCTCCACCTCAGATATATGACAAGCAGTTGGATGAAAGAGAACACACAATCGAAGAATGGAAAGGTAACTCTACTATTTAAAAATGTATACTTTTAATTTTATCGAACTCAGAAAGTATCACCAAGGCTTTGCTTGTAAAAACAATTTACTAAAAGATGATTTGCTGATTGCTATTCTCTTAGACCATTTTTAAAGCTCCTAAAACTTCATCTTTTTATGCCAAAAGCAATGTTGTATTTGCTCAAGAATGAAAGGCATTTACCACTGATACCTTTTAAAATGGTACTGATTGTCAGTGTTTGTCATGGTGGGGGGCAAGCTTTAGTTCAGAATTCCAGAATAAAACTTTCTATGTTTGTACATAAAATCATCATATGAAACATGAAATTAAAATTCTGAGATGGTATTAGACTTTAGAAAATAAAAGATAGTTAGTATATGAGTTTACTCCTTGGACTGATAAGACTTGAGAATTTAAATAGAAAAATATGTGTATCAAAGTAGCCTATTTTTTTCTTTAATATAAAAATTAGAATGAATTAATGCATTAATTCATTTTTCAGCAAAACTTTTCCAAACACATACTGCATTTTTGAGTAAAACAAAGCAGAAAAACAATTGACTTAAAAAGAATTGTTAAACTAATCTAAATCACTACAGAATAGAAAAATATGGGAAAGTCAAATGCAGATTGTAACAAATGGTCAGATCAAAATGGGAAGAGCTGAAGGGAAGGAACGTTTGAGTTACCTTGCAGGAATTAATAAGTGTAAATTAGGAAAAGAAAAATATTTAGAAAAGATCAGATAAAGGACTAAGAGGAAAACAAAGGATAGGAATAAGCAGAAAATGTTACAAAGATACTAAACACGGCCAGGAGTGATGACTCACACCTGTAATCCCAGCAGTTTGGGAGGCTGAGGCTGGGGGATCACTTGAGCCCGGGAGTTCAGAACCAACCTAGACAACATAGGGAGACCCTGACTCTACCAGAAACATACAAAAATTAGCCGGGCATAGTGGTACACACCTGTAGTCCCACCTACTCGGGAGACTGAGGTGGGAGGATCACTTGAATCCAGGAAGTTGAGGCTGCAGTGAGCCATGATTGTGTCATTGTACTCAAGCCTGGGTGACAGAGAAAGTCTCTGTCTCTCTCTATATATATGTAAAATAAAAAAAAATTAAAAGATACTAAAGAGATTCCACTGGTCAAGAGATTCCAGGGTCATGTTGGTGAATATGGAAAAATGAACATATACATAAAGCAGATCAATTGAAAAAAGATGCTGGGTGTAGATGAAAAAGGCTTGCTTTCATCCAAGTAAGGACAGGAAGACACTCCTTAGGAGCTCATGAATAGGTGGGTGATAGGATATAACCATCATTTGAGGAGGACATGGACTAAATTGTGAGAAATTGGGAGAAAGAAGTACCTGTAAAAAGTGATGATTATACAGATTATAAGCCATTGCAAAGCAAGAATGAGTAGAGCTGAATGATTTTTAGCTAAAAGGGACAAAGTAAACAGAACTGCAACTCTCCAATTTAACTCTAGCATTCAGAAAGCCAAAAATGGATGCCAGTCTGAGAGTAAATGAACCAAATTTTTTAATGTGTTGGTTTTTGGCGAGTTTAGATTTACAAGTCCAAGATATGAGTGTGGATAAAAAAAAAAAAAACAGATGCAGTAAGAGATGGAAGTTGTAAAGATTGGTAAAAATTTAAAGTCATGAGAATATGTGCATTTCATAGGAAGTGAGTATAAAAGAAAAATGGATGTTCAAAGCCATAAAAATTGTTACTAGATGAAGCTTGAATGTATTAGTGGTTACCCCAAAGAATTCAGAAAACAAGTAAAACATGTGTTTCTTGTTTAATGTATGTAGTAATGTTTCATGTATGTAGAAATAAATGTTATTTATGTAGAAATGTATGTAGAAATAGTGTATATATAGAGAGAAATAAATAGTATGTTTCATGTACGTAGAAATAAATTTTCATGCATTGATTTCTTCAGCTGCTTTATTGGATACCTATTTGTGCCAAGCTCTCTGCTAATTACAAGGCAATATAGAAATAGAAATAGAGCAGTAAAGGAATCTCAATTGATTTTTAATTTACTCAGCCTTATCAAAACAGTATTACTTGCCATTAAGTAATGAATTTCCCTGTGGATGAAGGAGAAATTTGTTTTCTATAATAACACAGCTAATTGTTTCTTACAGAACTTATCTACAAGGAAGTAATGAACTCAGAAGAGAAGACTAAAAATGGCGTAGTAAAAGGACAGCCTTCTCCTTCAGGTACTCACTCTCTGTGAATAACCAATAAACTAGTACTTGTATAATTTCTTGACCTTTTTGTAGGGTTGCAACAAATAACATTGCTCGAAGAGCAGATGGAAAAATATCACATGGTTGTTTCCTTATAATGATTTTAGTTTTATTTCTTTTGATATTCAGTGTGGCATTCATTCTGATTATTCTGATTGTAATGGTCCAGCACAAAAACTTTTTCATCAATCATTTTAAGATAGTAATGAATCCTGAAGAAAATGTTAACATGGGCTAAAGGGTAAATGCGCCTCATCAAAATTCAGAGCCATAATGCCCTTTTGACCATCAAGTCAATGTGGAGGTCAGGAATCCTTTCAGCCACAACCTCTTCCCTCATTCATTCTTAGTGTTTGAACTCTTCTCAAGGTTGATGTGACAATAGTTGAAACATCTACCAAGATGGACTCCAGTTAAAGTCAGCTTGGAAAATTTTTCGTTTGCTAGCTATAGAATCTAACACACAATTGTACATATGTATTTTTTACTGATCCTAGTAATGCGCTTTAGTACGACTTGAGACAATTTACTTATTAATGCTAATATGTTTTTTCCTAAGACCTATGCTCTCACTATAAAGAGTTTTAGAAAATGTGATGGTTTTTTTTTCAGCTTTAAAAAACTACATTCAACTCCTGCTAGCAAAAATATGGGCTACAAATGCCTAGTTTTGAGAAAAACTGATTAGGGTGTTGTTTTCCTAAGTTATTTTAGGAAAAAAGATGTAGGATGAAATAATTAATCAATTATTCATACAGATATTACTCTTTGAATAACTAATTTACACCCCAAACCAATATGATACCCAAACAGATGCAATTCGGTTATGACATGCTTTTCTCACCAGTGGGACTTGAAAAAATACTCAGTTTTATCCCAAGTTTTTCCTTTCCTCAAAGAAGGTTAAGGGAGTCACTGGAGTTGTTTTCCATACTGCCATCTCTACTCATTCACCCTAGCATACAGATTGACACAGTCCACAGAAGCTGCTTCACACTCATCCGCGTGTTCGGCCTGTTGCTCATTAAAAAACTAGAAGACAGAATCCAAAAGCCTCAAGATGCCACCTGCTGAGGCAGAACGATTCCTTGTTTTAAGAATTCCTATGATGACCAGAACATATTGTCATGTACTCATTAAGCAGCAGAAATAACAGAATTTAGCCACGGGTGACCTAGCACCTTAGGCTGGGCTGGGACAAATTTTAGTAGAACCTATTCTATTCATCTTCAGTTCAAGTTATCATTACTTCATTTCCTTTTCATACCACCTTACCCCAAAAGACTTTTTATATCTTCCCAAAGAATAGGATCTTTCCTTTCTATAGATCCTACTAGTTCCTGTATGTTAAATATTTGACCTCTTGTCTTATATCCTTTATTGATTGTAATTTCATTGAGAAGACTGTATGCATTTATCTTTGTGTCCCATGTAGTGCCTGGGTGCTATGCCTTGCACACAGTAGTAGCTCAATAAATATTTATTAATTTGAAAATTGCCACTCAATTTCTCCCTCAGAATATTTCTTGATACTATTCCAAACACAAAATTCAAGACAAGATCATGTAACTTTAATACAGTATACTATTCAGCATGTTCTAACACCATTATTATAAATATTTATTCGCTCTATTAATCTCCATGAAGATAAACAGGCCAAGCATCAAGTATATAAATTCTTGCTATTGGCATTTTTTCATGCTGCACATAAAGGTTTGCAGTTTTCAGGTGTTTGATTTATTCATTTTGGGAAATAAATATTCATATTTTTTTTGCAGGCCGGCTTAGTGTGTTAGTGATTAATTCTAAAATGTGCAACTTATACTCTACTTGAGTGAGAAGGCTAAGCCACTTTTTAACCATTTCAACTACCTTAACAATTAAAAATTATTGCCCTAAACTATAGTTGACTGGCTTAACGAATTTATAGTTAAAATGATTGTGGATTCAATCTAGGAACAATATTCATGACTTCGTTATAAGTCACGTAGTATGACTTTCTCTTTTGTGAGAAATCATATGTATACTACACTTTATACGATGCATTTCTGTATGATATATTTATGTGCATGATGGAGAGGCTCTGGGGCAGCCATGTGCTGGCGCTGACTCTACCAGCTCATGACGGCCAATTCTGTACCTCTCTTTCCAACTATGCATTTATTGTTGGTGTGTTGTCAGCATGAAATCAGCCACGGAGGATTTACAACATGAAAATTGGCAGACCCTACAAATCAGGGTGTTTTTGTTGCCCCCTGCAGAGCCAATTGTTAAATTTTTATTGGCACACCACTGTGTGTGTGCGTTTTTGTGTGTGTAATAAACCATGCTGGAAAGAAAAAGCAATTACTAAAAAAAGTTTGAAAAGTCAGCTTTTTTGCATTGTTCATTATATTCAGCTTTTTTTCATTAATGTTCATGTAGCATATTTTATTTTGAAAATAGCTAGGGTAAAGTATTTTTATAATACAGACTCTGTTAGTATTCAGTCATGACAATACTGGGAGTTCTGCAGCAAGGGAATAAGTTAAAGCAGTATCTCAGGGGCCAAATGCTTCTAATATCGACACTCATGTTACGTGATGCTTTTAAAATGTAAATAGGAAGTTAAATGTGCATTTGCAGAATAATTTATAGGTTTTAAACTTATTGATGGAATTGTTGTATGTCAATAAGAGATAAATTTAAACTTCAGATACATTTCTAAATAAATAATTGTACTCCCTTCTGTTATCTGATTTCACTTGCATAGTAATTTATTTTCAAGGATGGCATAGCTGCTTGCTTGCTGAATTGATCTGTAACAATTGTTGAGGGACTGGCAGTCCATGGATAGAAATTAATTTTCTTCTAAAAGCATTTGTTATAGGATGTTAGAGCTAGAACAATAGGAGAGCATCTGATTCACCAATGCTCAGTTTGTTCACCAGCCCTCTTCCACTTGAGAAGTAAAGATCCCAAAACTAACAGTGACTCACTAAGATAAGGATGCTGAACATCAGGATGGGCAGAGATTTTCCAAAATCTCTAAGTCAAAGATAAAGCTTCTGGGTGATTTAAATATGCAACTGTTTCCTCCCCAATGTGGACCACATTCCCCACCATGGGAATATGTCTTAGGGTCACTAATCTAGTCCATTAATTTTATTTACTTTTTATTTAAAAATCTCAGGCCCAGACAAATTGTGGCTCAAGATCATGTAGATAAAAAAGGCACTATTTTTTTTCATTCTTGTGCTTTTTCTCATTCTGTGTCTACTATATATTTTTTGCTGTTGTTGGCAGTGGGGGGTATCAAGAAAATCATTTCCTTTAAAAAAAAGTGGAAGAACATTTTCCACCATAACAATGTTTTTTGGTTAAATAACTCCTAGCTGAGAAATTTTCTTTAGCATACGTTACTTCTTTCTATGAAATTTGATTTTTTAGGTAAAGTTGAAGGTAGCTAATATTCCTCGTTTGCAACCCTATTGGCATTTTCGGTTCCTTTTAATGCCATTTTTATTGACAAAAATTTGTAATGCTTTATTGATGGCAAAACATTTTTGAAAATGTATATCTCTACTGTTTTCTCTTAAGTAATACAGAAAGAAGAGATATTTATCACATTGGACAACTGAACACTATGATCACATTCAATTCAGTTCAATTCTGTTTAAGATATTTTCGCAAACTGCTTGGCAGTAATTTAACAACTTAAAGCCAAGGCCCATGTCTTGTCCCTTATATTTGTTTTGGGTTTATGTTTTACAAGGCCTGTTTATTGCCTACATGAAAATAGACTTCAATGGATCATCCAGTAAAGCCAGAAGTGGCTGCAGGCAAGGAGGCATTTATTATAGTGTAATAGAGGGAGGCATACAGAAGCAAATAGTTTTCATCTAATAGTGGTGGACTGGTTAACATTTAACAACTATATTTAAAAAAAGAATTGAGGAGTAGCACTTAAGATTAACACTTAACAACTATATTTAAAAATAGAATCGACGAGTAGCACTTAACAATTTCTGTGGTATAAATATTCTCACAGTGACCAATTTTAAGCAACAATGTAACATCAATGGGTGCAGAGTTGGAAAGAGATGTTAATAATTGGTTCTAAGAAGCCACTGAAAGCCAGCTCCAGCACACCATAGACAGTGTGCATTTTTCTCCCACCATCACACTGTATAGCAAGGAACCATTCCCATGAAACAAGCAGATGTCATGGGAATTTTTACAACTGAAGTACTGACGACCTCTCTTAATGAATTGGTGCCATATAAAATCAGAAGCAATAGTCTATGGAACCCTAGAAATACAGCTGATAAAGACTTTGATAGATTCTGAACTTTGAGTAGTTGAACACTAATTATAATTTGCATTCAACATTGATAAACTGGAGGGCAGGGCCATTCCAACACAGAAGATAGGAATTAGAGAGAACCAGCTGATGAACAAAAGGAGAAGAAAGACAACTGCAACAAAATGATTTCCTTTGGCCACAAATAGCTTAACAGTTTCACTAGTTCGAAAGCAAGAAGGAACTTGCTTTTCCTCACAGAACCTGTCTAGAAGAGTACACATAAAAGATACTCAATACTGTTTTGTTAACTCGAGTACTTACTCTGTGCTACTACTCAGCAGTAGACACTGGAAGACAGGAGAAACAAAGAAGTATAATGAAAGAAGTAAAAAGAAGCAGGGGAAATATATACTTGAGGTAATCTATAACAAAACTACATATAATAAAGGACTGACTGGTATGGCATAACATTCAGAATATTCCAGAAGTGTGCTGAAAATATGCTGATTTTGAAAATAAGTGCAGTAGGAGTGCTGTGTGTTTTATAAGCATAACCTACAGCATGATCCCCTGTTTATAAAGAGCTTATTAAAAGCTACTCTGACTTTTGCTACATTCATTCAATATTATTCATAGATACAAATTTGTGTTTTGCTGCTGGGGAAATTTCCTCAGTGCTCTTTGT